AGGGAAACAACCAAAGTAACACTTGGGGGTGGCTTTGGGTTTGGTTGTCTCTGTTTTTTTTCAACGGATCCAAAGCTTCCATTAGTCGCATGAATGAATTAATTGCACACAAAATGTTTTGGACTCTCCTTCACGGCTTCACTGGCTTTAAAAGTACATATATATTGCATGAAAACGTTACATATACCCCCCTCTCTCTATATATATACATATATATATATATATATGTATATATATATATAACTTTTGGACTATTCTAAAAAGAAAACAAAAGATAATCTCTTCCCTTTAAAAAAATTGGACAAAATTTATAGAACACTGAAAATATTTAAATTCAATTATAAATATAAAATTCTACTGTATAATTAATTCGATTTATTTTCAAGTCACATCAATTACATTTACACGAGATTGTTGGTTTCTGCATGTATCGCTTTACATGGAAATTCATTGCACATGCATGTATATGTCCATTAATTAATGAACTAAAAAAATTTCAATTAAAAAAATATGGTAAACTATTATTAAATCCTATATTAGGGTTGATGAAAACATTGAAAAGGAGCTTTCTTTTCCGTTCATTTTAATTTAGTCGTCAGCTCGTCGCTTCGCTTACTCTCTTTCTGAAGCAATAATATTGAAGAATTCGCTCATCGGACCGACTAATTCGTGTAATTTTCTATCGAATCGTAATCTCATAATTATTTAATGTTGAAGATAATGATACTTACACCATTAACGAATCCGCTAAACACATACCGGAAAATGGGTTATAACACTTAAAAGAAACATGTGATCACGAGCCTTGGAACGCTGCAATAGATTACAAATTTGTTTAATGCCTCGTTGTTGGTCAATATACAACCGCGACGAGCTATAACACTACTTAGAAGAAGACGCATATTCACGTGCGTTCGCACACTTGACTAAATATGGTATCGACACCATAATCCACGACATGCATGGGGCTAAAAATAATAAATACATATATATATGCATCATTTATTGATCACGAAAGCACGTGTGTATCTTAATTTCAGAGGCCGCATAGAGAGGAGATACGTCGAAGAAGACAGAGTTTAGCATGAAGGATGGAGATGTGATCTGCCGTGAGACGGAGAAGCGTCTCAGAGTCAATGTCGCCGGAAAAAGTCTCCGGCGGTGAAACCATTCTCCGGAGACGGTTTACGAGCTTCCTCTCCGCCGTGGCTCTCGACTTCACCGCCACTCTCTTTCTTCTCTTCATCTGCATTGTCCTCCACCTCATTATATTGCTCGCACGTGTATATGCACAGAGAAAGAGAGAGAGAGAGAGAGAGAGAGAGAGAGAGAGAGAGAGAGAGGTGTTGTATGTAGTAGAGTAGAGGTATTTGCTATTTATAGAGTATGAAACACCAACACGTTTGATTTCTCTTCTCTCACACGCCCTGAGATCTGCTCTGTCATATGTAACACACGTGTGAGGGAAACGAACTTCATTTCTGTATAAGCGTATAATATATGTTCGTATATACTATATAATTTTATAGTATGGCATGGAACGGGCTAATTTTCCATGTAAAGTCTTACATGTGCATGTGCAATAAAGACAGCATCTGCATCCATGGGCTAATAGTTTTTGTTCTAGCTAGGAATTTTGGTTAATAATTCATCTGTATAATGGCATACCTTACGTTAAGAGGCCATGAGTTGTCTTATCAAACTTCATAATGGACGAAGCTGATGAAGAATGACAAGAAGCCAATGGTTCATATTTCTTTTTACAACACAAATATTCATCATTTGCGTCTAACCATTATAATTTTTGGTTCATGGGGGGTCGAAGATCATAAAACATTCTATGAATTACATGATGATACGAAATGGATGTTATGTCCTCGGAAGTCGAACCATATATATGTGAATGATGATTGTATAATGTATATGTTGTTCGCTCGTTCAATAATAAATAATTGGACGTGCGTATATACGACAAAACGGAATCGCTTTGATCAAAGCGACGCAATGGATGCAATTCGGAAGACGGTGAATACGGCCACGTTACAAGCTTCACATCCACAGACTACGACAGATAATAATTCTACATATACGAACTTCTCATACATTATTGACATATCTCGTCATCGAGTATGTGGCAGACTCTTTTTTTTTTTTCGTCAACAAAATTGTGAAAACTTTCGTCGTTATATGAAGATTGACAAGATATATTTCATTTAGGGTTGTCGCTACACATTGACACCAATTATGGATTATTTCATAACGGCGACAGTTATTTTTTATGACATGCATGGAGTAAAGTTTTCTTGTCGTTTTAAATCAAATTTACGATATGCAATAGTTTTTTTTTTTGTTTGATAATTAGGATGGTTCTCCAGACCGTCGATCCGATTACATCCATCTAAATCCGATACCAGTTTTTGTATATGGACCATTTTAATCCCGAAATTACATCATTCTCCACCCGTGCAATCGAATTTAGAATCGTGATGATGATTTTGTCATCTCTTAACCACTGAACCACCAACTGTTGGGTATGATATATCACATGTATGATGCGAAACATCTTTTTGATTACTAATAAATCATAATAGTTTGGAAGATCGCTTCGAGGGTCTTGATGTCTCTGTATATACATGTATATGTGTATGCATTGTATGTATGTATATATATAGATATGTGTATGCGTCTAGAGGGAGAGAGAGAGAGAGGAGAGAGGTGACATAGAGGAGTAGAGGAGAGGTCAGTATCAGAGAGGAGAAGCATGCAACCCATGCATGCATGTCTCTTTTATATATATAAATAATAAAAAAAAGGACAGAACACGTCTTTTTCTTTGCTTAGTTGGTTCCTCCGATATATCTTCTTCTCGTTTATTCATTAATTATTGGATTATCGTTATTATTACTATTGTTATTTTGATGTGTACACGTGTGCTCATGTCTCTGTCTCGATTCCCTCATCTCCGTCTTTTCCGGGGAATTCATGTGCTCAATTATTTACGCCACTATTCTATATGTTTCGGCTCAACACTCTCACTTGTCGTGTGCTTATATGCCCGTTTCACGAATTACGATTTGGGTGATTTTTTTTAAAAAAACCAAATCGCTTCCGGTGATGACAAACAGTTTGCGCCATTGATGGAGAATCCGAAACATGCATAAACAATAGCTGGTCAATCTGGCTAACAGCTCGATCGATCGATCCGGATTGAATAACGCATAACCCTAATTGAATCGATTTCGGTATAAAAATTAAATGGTCGAATAAGGAATGAACCAAATCAAATAAAAAAAAAACAATCAAAACAAGTGAAGATTTATTCTAAAAATGAATATCTGTATCAATAAAAAACGAATTCAAATAAAATCGAAACCGAATCGTTGTAATTTTTGTCAAAACCAGAATAACTAACAGGCATGTGTAACCAAACCGAAATTGAAGTGACGAGCCCTAGACACGCGATTTGAGCACATTACAAGTGTTTATGTAGTTTTTTTGTGTGTAATGGGTGACTTTTCACGTGGACGTGGGGAGATGGGGGAGAAAGAAAGGGAAAGGGCGGTTGAATTTTGAAGGGAGTGGGGATACAGAATTAAATGCAGCTCACGTGCATGCTTTTACTACTAGTACGTACTTCTCTTCTCTTTTCGCCATGCTTCTTATCTCTTGTCCGTTTATTTATTTATTTATTTAAAATCTTAATATAAGTCTATATGATTATAAATTTATAATGGTGCGCGTGGCTTTTGCATGTAATATGTCTAATGCGGAACAATGTTGTAGGGCATTTTTGTACGGGAAACAAATATAAATATGAAAATCGCGGAAATTGGTACGCAGTTAAACCTTTTAAAAAAAATGTAAAACAGAAAAAATAAATTAAAAAAAAGTAGGCACCGTGTTCGTAGACAAACGTGGATACATAACTATTTCATTTTCACAAGCAAACCTAACATTAAATTTAAAAAGATACGGTAGAATATATCAAGACTTCACACGAGGCATCATCCATCAACTATCAATCTCGTGATTTTCAGACACGGATACACATCTATTTGCTTTCAACAGGGTACCTTTAAAATTTTGGAAAAATCCATTGAATGAAAAGCGCACCGATTGATTTCCAAGTGATGTGACATATAGGACCGGAACAAGAGAAAATGCTGCAATTTGCCCCTTTTGCGCACAAATCTAACAGTGCATATTACAACTACTCAATCGACAAGCTAACATGGCATCTCACACATACATACATACATACATACATACATACATACATACATACATACATACATACATACATACATACATACATACATACATACATACATACATACATACATACATACATACATACATACATACATACATACATACATACATACATACATACATACATACATACATACATACATACATACATACATACATACATACATACATACATACATACATCACTTCACCGCATACAAAGAAGGGAGAAACAAGAAAGGCTTAGTCCCTCCTCCTACACATAGAATCCAATCCATCCAAGTTACAATAACTTGTAACTATCATGTCTAATGTCCACATTTCAACTTCACTAGATCCCAATCCTCCTTTTATTTGACTTGCGCTTCGCTTCCTCTGTCACGTGCCAACAAAGTCATTTCACTTTACTCGCGTAAGATCTTAACACATTTTTTCTCCATACGTTCCAAAGGTTCAACCCACAAACACAGACCTTTTTTTTAAGATCACAAGATGTCATTTGATATCTTGAATGACGTCTAATTATAAATGGACACCTTTAAAGTTTTACACATTCACCATTTATCTCTCCGGATCAACGTAAGAAAGGATAAAATGTTGAATCTAAGAATTACTTCATTCCTAAAACAAGATTTTAAATAATAATAATGAATTCATCAACATCGCCTTAATCCCAAATTTATTTGGATTTTCATTCAAACAGAAAACATAACTCTAAAACGATCTAAAATCATCTCTGTCGGTGTGTAAACTAGTATCGGTACTAGAACCTCTTGGACGAAAATGATGAATATCTACTTTTAGACCGTTTATTAATTTATTTTATTTTGTCAAAGAAGTCACGTGTATGTGTAACGTTTTGCAAAGTAAATGTACCTGTCGATGAGGAAGAGTGGTAACGTTGACGAAGACTTCGCCTCAGGCTCAAGGTTTCGTCATGTTTAGCCGTTCGTGGACGATGACAAGAGCTCGTCTTGGGGTATTGTTCGTTCCGTTTTACGTCGCTCGATCGAAGTGTCCGTCGTTGGCTAATTGTAACATTCTTGCATACTTCGGTGGTAACCCTCTTTACTAACGTTGCTTGCCCCCCTGGATCAATGTCATCATCATTATGATGTAGCTATGGCGTTTTCGTACGGAACTCAACATCATCACAAAGCTCTCACCTTTAAGCGGAGGACCGAGCGTGGGAGGAGAAATGATAGACCCATACAAGTGATAATCAGATTTCAGATATTCCACCACTGTCTCCAACATCCTTCTCTTCTTGCCCTTGTTGAGTTCCGCGGTCGATTCCTCGAATTCAGATCCTTTCTCGACCGAAATTGAAATTCCATCACCCAGCAACGTAACCCAAAACCCATATTCAATTCTCGAATACAGATGTTATAATAGGTTTTGAAAATTCAATCCATTCACAGCTGTACCACCTTCGAAAACGAGAGGCTTACCAAATTCAAAACCTGCAGCTGGAGGAGGAGGAGAGGCGGAGACGAGAGGAGCGAACATGTAGCAATCGGATTTCAGGTAACCCACGACAGTCTTCAGTAGCTTTTCGTTCTTCCTCTTGATTTGCTTCCTCGCGCTCTCCATCTCCGGTTCAGCTCCTGGGCTTTGCCAATGACCCAAACCGGAAGCTGACGATGATGACGAAGAACAGTTTAACGCCACGTGTCGTTCGTACACACGTGTCGATTCATGCAGAAGGAACAGCGACGGAGGTGTGACGAAGGAGACGACACGTGGACGAGGCTCTCACCTGGGCCTGCCTGACACACTTGCTATTTTAAAAACTCGAGCTTTATTATATGGGTCAATAAAATAAGCCCAAAATATTTAAATGGGCCTTGAGCCCAAAACCTAATTTCAGTAGTGTGTGATTCACATCAAAATCAAACCCAATCTGGTGTATCTTTCGCTGACGAAGATGACAGCTCAGCGTATTTATACGCATTTGTGTATTTAAAACCGTAGCCCAGAGAGAGAAGCCGATTCGACCGATGTCGATATATATGGATAATCATAAATACATACGTAGAAGCCATGCCATGCCATGCAGGCTGACGTTGAATAAAGCGCCAGATACGATTATATAGTATGTAATATCATTATCTTAGCAAGTGGGAGACGGTCCAAACTCCCCTCGCCAAGCCCCCGATTTTGAAAGTAGGTATCGAGGATAGCCATTTCGTACTTCGATTCAAGTTAAGTTCGATTATGGTTGAATCCGCTTATTTCGTTTTTATAGAAAATTATAACCAGACAGTTTTTATTTTAAATTCGATTCAATTATGTTTTAGTTTAGACTCGGTTTTTATTGATAAAATTCTATTTTTTAACGAAAAAAAAATATAGTTTTTGGTTATTTTTTATTCGGTTCGGTTTCGTTTTTTTACATAAATCATAAGAATTTAATTGTTTATATTGAATCTGGATTAAGTGATATGTTATTTGTTTCAAATTGGTTCAATTATTCGATTATTAACTAAATTGACACACCATACCTTATTGTGAAAGATCATATCCATATAATACTTTTTGTTAAATATATTACGTGCATGTGATTTCCCACCAAAGCAGTGTTGTCAACCCTCATGTATAGTTCATGATTTCTCGATAAATGTCTTACCGACTAAAATGGATAAGAGATTATTGATACTTTCGCCATTTAAAACATAGAAAATTCACCGAATCTTCAAACCAACTACATCTTCTGCGTCTCGGAAACAATATGTATATCGCAATTGAATTGCGCAATTCTTCCCTTGTAGAGTCGAATTTGGGATTTTGCAGCCAAATGGTCCCCGGCCATTCTTCACACGATTCTCACACGCAAAATTGATTGCTAAGACTACCACAAGATGAGTTCTCTTATAATATAATGTATAAATATAATTATATATGTATTATTATATTAGAAGAGGAGGGGTAGTTGCAAAAACCGAGCCGACATTAATACCAGATTCTAAGAGCTTACGGACTAACCAACTTTTTAAATTTCGTTTGCGAGGCCTTTTATGAGGTGGGTGGTGTGGTCGTCAGCCGACCAAATATCTCTCCGACCGAAGCTTCCACATGCACAAATCTCTCAATCTATTTTTTTTGTTGTTGTATCGGTTTATTTGTTTTGCGTTTCGATTTAAAGACAATTTCTTCTTTCGAGATTCTCTCCTTTTGTCTCACTCATATATATATATATATATACCCAAGTTGTAAACTTTCTTTTCATTTTTGTCGTCTTGGGTCTGCAATTAATTTTTCATTTTCATATCTTTTATGGCTTAATAAATCTCTCTCGACTTAATGCATGCAGGACAAAAAAAAAATTATATGGAAAAAACGTGAGCCAATATAATATATACAAAGGAAGAGGAAGGATACACATTAACCGGTCATTATAAAATCAAAATTAAGTAGATTGGCGCACGTTTAAATAGGGAATAGAGTAAAGTGACTGAGAGTAAACCATGCACACACATATACGTAGACGTACACCGTATACGACATTGAAATGAAATCAGATATAGGCTCAAATAAAAAAAAAAACACATGGGCAGTTCATTAATACGGTCTTGTTCAAGAAACGGGTTCTGTCCAAACCGCAAGACAAGACAATTAGGTAGGTTAACCATTACAATATAAGTGATGTATATAACAAAATAATGGCGAGACAGTCCACTGATGAAGAAGAAAAAGACAAATGAGGAAAGGGCCCATATATGTGTGTGTATATATATATATATGTCTCTGTGTGTGTATATGTGCAAAGCTCAATTTGTGTTTAACCTTCGCTGCTCCAACCATAAACTGATCATTAAATACGAAGAAGACTCACAACAGCAGAAACAATCGATTCCTTTGAATCGTCAATTTAGAGACGAGACGCGCCCACTCCATCCTAAACCCTATTCTTGTTTCATATTGTAACATCAACCACGCACAAAAATCTTAATTACTACAACGTTAAAGACCTAATCCCGACAACACATCCCCCATTTTAGTCGCGACATTTACGTCATAACATGCAGATTCATATGTCGCATGCACATTAGTTTTTAATAAAACTCGAAAGAGAGGAATTGTGTAGTTAGAATAGATAAATCTAAGGTTGAATGGAATGAAATTCAAATTATGGTGCAAGGTTTTTTCTTAGAGCAAAAAACATGTTTTTTTAATAGTTTTTTTATAATTGATTTGGAGGTCAAAAACCAACAATGTGATATGGTGTACAACGTCTCTCCACAAATTTGAGATTTGAGATTTGAATTCTGTTTCGTTTGGTTGGTTGAAATATCTAAGTTTGAGTTATTTTTTTTAAGAGTTATTAACACATATTGTATCATTGGGTTAAAAATTATATATATGTGTGTGTATATATATATATAACATTGTGAAATTTAGGTGCCAATTAAAACGCGTGGCGTGGCTGTGGTGGGTCTGTATTTTCTGCTTATATAAGTAAGCGGAGAGTTGGGTATCTCAATGTGGCAAAATCGTTTTTATTTAAACTGGTAGAAGAAGCAAAAAGAAAAGGGCTTTCCTCCTCTTCGCTTCTTCACTTGTGTACATTTTCCATTTCCGAGATTTCTCATCTTCCTTCCTTCCTTTCTCGAGAGGCTAAAATTATTTGCCCAAGTCTCCGGGAATTAGGGACGGAGAGAAATCTTTAAGCACACGTGAAAGCTACTGGCTTTCGATCAATAAATAAGAACTTGCAAAGAACCCAAAAGCGAAAAAACAAATCACAAAATGGTTGCGGCTTTATCGGCTTGGCCTTGGGGAAATCTGGGCAATCTCAAGGTTTGTGCTTTTTTTGCTTCGAAATCTCCATCTTTCGGACAAGTTATCTGCTTTTTCGCTTTTATGATTTCATGGGTTCTAATGTCGTGATTGTTTCTTCTTCGTCCTTTTTTTTTTGTCGGTGAAGTATCTACTGTATGTCCCATTAGCTGCACAAGTGTTGTATTCGAGGGTTAACGAGGAAGAGAACCCAAGGGCCACTCTGTGTCTGCATATTCTGGTCATCTCTGCGCTCAGAGGTCTTGTTCATGTCTTATTCAGCTCTTTCTCCAACATGTTGTTCTTGACCCGGACTCGTCGTATCGACCAGCAAGGTGTCGACTTTAACCAGATTGATCACGAATGGCACTGGTAATTTAATTCCCTTCCCCCCCCGAGTTTCCTTTCTTGGAAAGTTGGAGTTTTTCGCGGTTTTGAAGTTGTGGGTATCCCTGGGTTTTCATGGATTACTTCAAAGCTTGAACTTTTCCTCATCTCTGTTTCCGTGGGTATGGTGTGATGCAAACTTGGGTCTGTTTCTTAATTTTCTTTCCTTGATCCGTGGTTGATTTCCAGGTATGGTGTTATAATTTAATACATCTTTTACTAATTCCTGAGAAAATTCAATGTTTTTTCCTTTCTCTGGACTCTGTTTTCTGGGTGTGGAGTTGTGTTTAATTGTCTTGGTCATCCCGAAACTGTGAAACATATCAAAGTTTTTTGTGTTTTCTTTAAATTCATTTTTACTGGTCTGTACTTTTTTCTGATGGTTATGGCGACGTTTCAGGGACAATTTCATACTTCTGCAAGCCATAATAGCGAGCGTGGCCTGTTACATGACTCCCTTCTTGAACAGTCTTCCCCTGTGGAATCCAAGAGGCTTTATTGCATTAATTGTCCTCCATGTGACAATTTCAGAGCCTTTATACTACATTGTTCATAGATGCTTTCATGGATACAGCCCCCTCTTCACTCATTACCACTCGTTTCACCACTCATCTCCTGTTCCACATCCCATGACAGGTAATAAACACATCATACATGTTAGGACCTCTTGAATAAGACACCGTCTTCACAGTTTTGTATGACACTATAAAAACCAAGTTTACCAGTTTGAATTGGTCATGTATAACTCAACCATGGCTGGTACACCTAAACTTGGATAGTTCAATCGATGAAGGAGGTGTTTAGTGTCTGTTCTATTCCGAGTTCAAACCCTCTAGTTTGGGGAGGGTTATTTATGTGTCAGCAGCTGCTACAGATTCCATAATAGCAACTCTGATGCTATAACAGTTAGAATTGCGTGGCAATGCTAACTGGAAATCTCTCTACCGGTTTGGTGCAGCTGGAAATGCAACGTTCTTGGAACATATCGTTCTCTGCATCATAATAGGAGCCCCTTTGCTTGGATCTTGCTTGTTGGGGGTTGGATCAACGAGCTCGATCTATGGATATGTCGTCATGTTTGATTTCCTTAGATGCATGGGACATTGCAATGCCGAGATCATCTCACATAACGTGTTCAAGACCTTCCCTTTCCTGCGATATCTCCTCTACACCCCAACGTAAGCAAATTCAGGGTTCAGACGTTATTAGTTTCTCATTTTCCAAGTTCAATTTGCCCATGTGTCTATTTTTGCCATTCTTCATTTGCAGTAGAACTGAAAACATGTCTTGCTTCATGTTTTTTTTCCCTCTCTTGAGAAGCCAAGTTGTCCGCATGTGGACCATCTTAGCTGTTTTTAGATGTCTTTATTAGAAAACAGGTTGATTTTTCCTCTTTTTTTTTTTTTTTACTGAATCTGTTTATTGAATTAAATGGTTCTTTAACGTTTTGATAAAAATGTGGTTGCAGATACCATAATCTTCATCGCAGAGACATGGGGACCAACTTCTGCCTCTTTATGCCTCTCTTTGACGCTTTGGGAAATACATTAAACCCCGACTCATGGGAACTGCACAGGAAACTTAGTTCCGGTCCAGGTGACTTTGTTAACACAATTAGAAATCTCATAATTGTCTTATCGAAAAACAAATACCGAAAATAGGCTACGGATACTCATAATAAGACTATGGGCACCCTCTAGCAACAAGCTAATTGTGTAATCTTTTCCTTTCAAGTGGGTGTAGGGGGGATATAGGATATTATTAGGACATGTACATGCATAGTTTGTTTGAAACAATTGCAGCTATTACACATTGGTTAAATCTTTGAATACGCCATTGTAACAGAGTCGGGTATATGGGTAATAACAGAGCTTTGCCCACAATATAAATTCACATTGTGAATCTTCTTGGTTGCAGCGGAGAATGGGAGGGTGGCGGATTTCGTGTTCTTGGCTCACGTGGTGGACGTGTCATCGGCAATGCACTCTCCCTTTGTGTTCAGATCATTCGGTTCTATGCCTTACGCGTTCAGGATTTTCCTGCTGCCGATGTGGCCGGTGACGTTTCTGGTAATGTTGGCAATGTGGGCTTGGTCTAAGGTGTTCCTGGTCTCGTTCTACAACCTCAGGGACAAGCTTTGCCAGACATGGATCGTGCCCAGATTCGGATTCCAAGTACGTTTTCAGCAAATATGATCAAGTTTATACTTTGAGCGATCAATGGCAACAACATTTTTGAGGCGTTCTTGGTTTTGTTGTTGCAGTACTTTCTACCATTTGCAACCCAAGGCATTAACAACAAGATAGAGGAGGCTATTCTGAGGGCAGACAGGATTGGAGTCAAGGTCATTAGTTTGGCCGCACTCAATAAGGTCGGTACCGAAAATTCATACGGAAAGTTCGAAATCTTTCTTTTGGTGGTCGATTTTTGCTCAGACTTGGGGCTTCATTTTGGTCAGAATGAGGCTTTAAATGGAGGTGGAACGCTGTTTGTGAACAAGCACCCGAACCTTAGAGTTCGAGTTGTCCATGGAAACACCTTGACAGCAGCAGTCATTCTCAATGAAATCCCGAAAGATGTGAAAGAGGTGTTCCTGACTGGAGCCACTTCTAAACTCGGCAGAGCCATTGCGATCTACATCTGTCGCAGGAGCGCAGGTTTGTCCGGAAGAGCCATTGCGCTCTACCTCTGTCGCAGGAGAGTCCGAGTTCTTGTAAGTAGTGTCCTTTCACCCATTTCCCTGAATCTCTTGGTAAAAAACTGTGCCTTTTTATCAAGAATACTTGCCCTTTATCCGTGAAAACAGAGTGTTTTTGTTTTTTTTACTGTTTTATCTGATGACCGGCCAATTTATGGAAGTTGTATGTAATCAAAGGGCTGAATCCAGTAAATGTTATGGCAGATGCTGACACTGTCAACGGAAAGGTTTCAGAAGATCCAAAAGGAGGCAGCAGTTGAGGACCAGAACTACCTTGTCCAAGTGACCAAGTACCAAGCTGCTCAACACTGCAAGGTAATCGACTTGTTGTTATTCAATTGACAGATGGTGGTGGGCCCCGTCTGATATGATTTAGATGCAGTTGGCAGATGGGTGTCTCTGTTGGTTAGTTGGTTGGTTGGTCGGTGGTGGGAGTCGATTTTGGCAATCACACTGATAATAAAAAAGAAGGAAAATATCATTTCAGATGTTCATATTTGTTGGTTTATAAGGGGATCTCCCCCAGTTCTGTTGGTTTGAGAGCCCACTTCCTGAATAAGAGGTCGTGGGTTCAACACCCAGGGTATAGAGATTTCCCCTCCGGCCACCTTCGGGTGCTTCACATCCCACACGTGTGGTGCCGGTTGTGCGTGTGGGTCGGGATTAGTCTGGGCCCTTTGGGCCTGGGATTACCCGGTTATAAAAAAAAAAAAATATTTGTTGGTTTATAAAAAAAAACAACCGGGATAAAAAAAAAAAGGAAAATTTCATATAATATAGCATTTTTTAAAATTTCAAAAAAAAAAACATTCGACTTTCAATTGTAATTTTATAAAGATTTAAAAAGACTAGATTATAGTTGATGTCGTTTTTTATTTGGTGTATAGTTTTGGGATTTTTTTTGAAATTTTGATATATGTTTTGTACAATTTATTATTTTAATTTTATAAAAATCGATAATAAAAAAAAAAGTCAAATATCAAGAGGTGTGAGTGTCCTGACAGAAGGGGATGAATGAATGCAGACATGGATAGTGGGGAAATGGATGACGCCAAGGGAGCAGAGGTGGGCTCCACCTGGAGCACACTTCCACCAGTTTGTGGTGCCCCCTGTCATTAGGTTCAGGAAGAACTGCTCGTACGGCGATCTTGCCGCCATGAGGCTTCCGGTTGACGTTCAAGGACTCGGCACCTGCGAGGTACGAAACCCTCTCTTTAAGCCAGAGACTTCTGCTCTGTTCTGTTCCTGGTCCTGTTCCTCTCTGTTGCCTTTCATCAATAGATCCATCCATGTTAATGCATGTGCGTGTATACGTGACATGACAGTATACGATGGAGAGAGGAGTGGTTCATGCATGCCACGCAGGAGGAGTGGTTCACATGCTGGAGGGATGGGACCATCATGAGGTCGGAGCCATCGACGTTGACCGCATCGACCTCGTCTGGGAATCTGCCTTGAGGCTTGGCTTCACCTCTCTCTCTTCCTCTCCCCTTTCATAATTTCCTCCATTTCTTCATCCTTAAATAATCTCTTTACACGTTTAGGCAGGTGCTGTGTTACATCTTCACTTGATTCCGTTGCACAAAACAGTTACCACGAGGGGGGGGGGGGGGAAAGAGGGCGATGGATGTATTCACACCTGAAAGAAGGGGAAGAAGAAGAAGGAACCGTTCTTCTCTCTTTTATGAAACATATCTTCCTTAATGGGTTATTTGTTCCATCTATATGAACTGTTACAACAAAAATGATGCCTTTTTTTTAAAAGAGATGCACACCATGAGAGGTCGATTCAATTTTCAGCCTTGAATCTGTATTAATCAAATCCAATCAAACACTCTCTCTAGTTATTCACTGGCTTTCTCAAACATCCTTAGAAAGCGCTTATGAAGGAATGAATGCAGCCCAGAAACACAGTTCATCAAACCAACTCTTGTCCCCAAAACGAAATAAATGTCTAACCTTTGTGTCATTGTTTCCCTTCTGGAGTTTATTGCAATGCATGGGAAGATGGCAGAACACAATCTATCGCCAAAATCACAGAGGACCTGGAAAAGTTCCATTCTCCCTCTGCTCGTTCCACTTCTCAACCTGCAACATCACAGGCATCACTCAGTTGTCAGGTTAGGACACTAACTCATGGGAACTGAAGAAACAACTGTCAAGAGAACATAGACAAACATGCCATGCGTATATCAACTAAATAAAAGCAACAGGTACACACCCATTCTCCGGGACAGAGGGCACGATAGAACTTTGCAAACTTTTCACAATCATTGGACTCCTCGCCCTTTGCAGCAATACACCTACATTCCGAATATTTGATGTTGTCGTTTTTTTCACAAGAGAAGAGATGGATCAGTGTATCAACCCATTAGATAGTTGTCATGCTTAAGAACATGACTACCTGTGGAACTCGATGTAACGGGTGAAGCAGTGTCTGGTTTGGTTTGTCGTGGGGAAACGGAAATCCGCAGGGGCAGTTTTGAGCTCAATCTAATGGAACCAACACAAAGTTAGGTAAGACAAAGCAAAAGAAGCAGAATCCAGCTATGTAATCCTATTCCTGTACGCAAATGACAAATGTGTAAACTCTCATACAAGTCATTCTATCAGACACGACATATATGGCTCTCCCATTTCACCATTGGATGACATGTGCCCTAAGCAATTGGATCTTTGAAAATTCCAGAAAGAGAACCAAGAAGAAACGTCTTAGGCGACATTTTACTGGTTGTCTCGCCTGGCTACCATCCGATCTAATTCCATCGAATCAATTACGTATCGTCCCAGAGAAACCCATAACCATCGGAAATACTGAAATGCGAAATCGGATTTCAAAATCACCCGATCCTAAACCATTTTCTGATTCATCTCACTAGGCTCCTTGTAAAAATCCCCTGAAAATGGAGCGAGAGAGAGGAAGAGGGGGGAAATTACCTCGTCAGCCATGGCCGATCAGATCAAACGAACAGAAGCGGAGAGTTTTGGGAGTCGCGTCAAAGGGCAGGAGGAAAGAGAGGACTGATGGAAAAGGGCTTTGTAATATCTATTTGGTGCAATTGTCCGCTTTGCAGATTCGACCCGCCAAACTGCTTCTATGGGCCCATTTATAGGCCCGACTAGAATGGGCCCAAATCCTGTAATTAGATTTCTTAGCCTGGTCTACTCGTGATATATCACTATATCAGGATTAGAAATTTAGAATTAGTGAATTACCATCTAAAGATTAGCCGGTTTTTATTTTGAGTTTTTGATTTTATATTTTAATTTTTGATTTTTGAAAATCCAAAAAATGAATTTTTTGATTTCTAATTGATTTTTCGCTAAAATAGTTTTCTACATTTTTTTAAAAACCAAATTTATAAAAATTTTATTTGGTTACTTTATTTTTGTTTTTGGATTATAAAAACTCTAAACACCACTTCTACCCGTATTCTTAATAATAAAAAAACTGATTTTTTGAAAAATAAATATTTTCATCAACAAAACCACCGAAACCAAAATAAAACCGAACAAAGTTTAATTTTAAAAACAAATCATTTTAATTTTTAAACGAATTGAGATCAAACTGAAGCCCAAGTGACCCACCTACTAGAAGAACAGTTCTTTTTTGGGTATTCCGCATAATCAATACATCCGGTCCGTGTCCGTCCGTTCGATTTGTTGCGTCTCACCGTGTCTAGACCCCACACCCAGCGGGCTGACATCGGGAACCAGGTTGAGGTTCGAGCTTCGAGCTTCGTTGTGTCCGTCATCTGTTTCGATCATTCCTTCCTCTCGGCGATCGAGGAACATGCCTTGTTTAATCTATTTGGATCCGTTGACCGATTCGGTTTTGTGTTTTCGTCTTCCTAGGATTTTGGAGGGCTAGACCGACTTCCTCCATCACCTTTGCAGTACTATTCCATGCTGTGAATCGGATGATGCGGCCGATTCTTCACTCATTTCGTCGATTCGCATCGTTCTCCAGGCACAAACGGTTCGGTTACGCCCGCATTCATGATTCTTTGATCCGAATAGATCCTTGCTCCGCTTATAGGCTCATTTCCGATGGCAATGGCGGGAGATTTTTGGGCTCGTCGTTCACATTCTCGAGAGCCCTTTCTATTGCAACCGATGCTCCTACGCATCCCAACGGAGGTTTGTATTGTGGGGGGAAAGCTCCATTCAGACTTTCTCTGCGGCTTTCGGTCTGATGATTGGTTCGATGTTGCAGATGGGAACAAAGGAGGACCGCTTGTAGAATACGAGCGACGAATTGTGGCTGGGGGGGCGTTGGACGGAGATACTTGCCAGGTACAGCTCCATGTTCTCTGCTTGGTCCGTTCATCTTGATCGCTCATTGCCCTAATGCATTGGCACCTCTTTCCCTCTGGTTGATGTATGTCCCATTTTACCTCCCTTTTTTTGAGTATGCCTCAAATTCACCTTTTGGGATTTGCATTGTAAATTTGTAACTGCGTTTAGGATCTCTGTTTTTTTTGGGACCTGGTTTCTTTGCCTGTACATACCATTGTTGTGTTAGTATTTATGCATGTCGTTATATACTAAGCTGGAAAGTTTATTCCCTATACAATCGTCAATTGTTGTAGCTTCAGGCTTGTGCTTGTTTGGTCTTTTGCTGTTGATTCACTTGTGTGGATGTCTACCGTTAATGGAGCTGTATTCATAATCTTTACATTCGACCAATATGGAAATGGAAGAGTCTACTTGGATGAGATTAGGTTTACATGAATATAGAGAATGGTTTTGTTCCATTTTTTTTCTTGCTGGAATCATTCTGGAGATCATTTCTTGCAGCTAGCTACCTTGAGAGAACTTCAGAGGCTCTATGATGAGCTTGTTCAATCTGCAGATGCATGTCGGTTGGATCGTTATTCTGCATCTCAGAAACCGACGAGGTAATGTCCACTGCACTCAGTGCAGACAAGAAATTCTTGAATTGCTGTTTATCTGCTTGAGAAGCGACCCCCATAGGAGTTCATTTGTCATTGATTTGTTATCTCAGGAGTAGGTGGTTCTGGACTCGTCTCATGCCGCAGTCTTCTCACTCACCCGTGAAAGGCTTATATCTATACGGAGGAGTGGGAACCGGAAAGACCATGCTCATGGACCTGTTTTACAATCAATTGTAAGTTACACATGCAAGTAATCCTCAGAAGTGTGATATCCCTGCAGGCTGTAATACCGAATCAATAATTGCAGATACATTCTTTTTAAAATTTCGGTGGTATTAATCTGATTCTGTTATGGACAAGGAAGGCCAGCCAGTTGGAGGAAACACAGGATTCATTTTCATGATTTCATGCTGAGTGTTCATAGCCGCCTACAAGTAAGATTTCAGATCAAAGTTTGTTTCTTTGTTCCTGCAGCAGAAAGAAACCAATTAAACTAATGATTGCAACAGCTTCTTGCTTTATGCATAATACGAGACCTGGATTGAACTGTTTATGATGTTAATCCTTCTGCAGAAGCACAAGGGTCTTGAAGATCCTCTTGAAGTCATTGCCCAGGAAATAGCGGATGAGGCTATCTTACTATGTTTAGACGAATTCATGGTATGTGAAGCTCTACAGTAAAATTTTTCACCTTCCCAGGGTAAAAAGACGAAGCACTTACATTTCCTTTTTCGTCTTTTCTTGCAAAAGGTCACTGACGTTGCTGATGCTCTAATACTGAATCGTCTCTTTAGACATTTGTTTAACAATGGCGTTGTAAGTAATCTCTATGTCTTAGCTGACTCAACTTGTCAAATGTACTGGACTCGAAATGTACTGTTATTTAAACGTTTATCTGTGGGTAATTGGAGGGGCGTGTAGGTTCTTGTTGCCACATCAAATCGTGCTCCAGATAAACTCTATGAAGGGGGTTTGCAAAGGGACCTTTTTCTTCCATTTATTGCCACACTAAAGGTAAGCAGACACCTGCTACTGTTATTGCTTCTTCAGCTCATTTCTGGTGACTCTGACTTCACTCCACCGTGTAACTAATACGGAGAAACAATTGTTGTAGGAAAGATGTGTGGTACGCGAAATTGGTTCATCAGTAGACTACCGGAAACTAACTACTGTATGTCATGTCATTTACCTTTGTAAATCTTTGCCGCCTTGTTGTTTTTTACCATGTGAATACATTCTTACTGTTGTATTCTCTGTGGCACAGGCTGAGCAGGGCTTCTACTTCATCGGTAAGGATCTCTCTGGCCTCCTTGAGCAAAAGTTTCAGCTGTTAGTTGGCAACGAACCAGTTGGACCTCAAGTGGTTGAAGTAGTAATGGGAAGGAGATTGCAGGTAATTTTCCTATTCTTTTACACCAATGCATCAACTTAACTCACAGTTCATGATGGTTGTGGAAGGGTGTTTGCATTAATATCATGGATTAATTGAAACAAGAATCTCTGTATGCCATATTCATTCCGAAAAATAACTTAGCCGGTTGTTGATTTTCCATTGATGCGTATACATTTTGTTGTTTTGTTGGTTATTGCCAGGTTCCGCATGCAGCCGATGGGTGTGCCTACTTTCCTTTTGAAGAGTTATGTGACAGGCCCTTAGGAGCAGCTGATTATCTCGGATTGTTCAGTATGTCTGCAATATATTCATCATCGTTTCAGACGTTTTTCTCGGTGTCTTTTTCTTGAAATACAAATGTTGCTGCAGAGAGCTTTCACACTCTGGCCCTGGAGGGTGTACCCATCTTTGGTCTGCATAATAGGACTGCAGCTTATCGCTTTGTGACTCTGGTTGATGTATGTCCCATTTTACCTCCCTTTTTTTGAGTATGCCTCAAATTCACCTTTTGGGATTTGCATTGTAAATTTGTAACTGCGTTTAGGATCTCTGTTTTTTTTGGGACCTGGTTTCTTTGCCTGTACATACCATTGTTGTGTTAGTATTTATGCATGTCGTTATATACTAAGCTGGAAAGTTTATTCTTTGAGGATCTGTTAGATAAACGCTCTAATTGTATTCTCTTTCTTTTTTTTCCTGGTTAGCATTTGTCCATGCTTTTCTTCTCGATATTGAATTCTTTGTCGTCTTTAGGATTTGCTTTCGATTTTCTAGTATCGTTTTAAACTCTCTCGGATGCTTTTTCAGGATGACTAACAAATAGATTTAAATCATTGAGATTACAGGTCATGTATGAAAACAAGGCCAGACTCCTTTGCACGGCTGAGGGAAGTCCCTTAGAATTGTTTGACAGAATAGTGACGATAGCTGATGCCCAACAAATGGCACCTCGAACCTCTTCAAGATCAAGGAAGAGTGATGATCCCGATCTTTGCGTGGACAACGAGCTTGGTTTTGCAAAAGACCGCACCATTAGCAGGTAAGTATGCAGTCTCTGAGCACTCGACAAAAGAGTTTCTAATTTATGGATCTTGCAGAGGTATTTCCTGTTTTAAAACTCTTTCGGTCGTTTTGAATGAGTATTGAGTATAAGCTGTCTAATGCCCTCTCCATAGAACAAAAGTTTTACCTTTCGTTGTTTCCTTTTCTTCTCTGATAATTTCTAGTTTTTCGGTTTTGTCCTATAAATAAGTTTTGACATCATATTCCAATTTTTGCAAATGTGATCCCTTTTTAAAAAACGAAAATTTTGGGAAAGTTGTTGGCTTCATTTCTGGTATTTTCTATAAGATGCAAGGCCATTTCTGTAGTTAGAAACAAACAAGAACCAAGTCTTTGAGGTCCTCGTATAAAGATTATGGTTGAGTTGGGAATTCATTGTAAAATCAACAAGTTGTCCTGTCATCTCTATAGTATTCCAAAGACTGATGAGCATCCTTTCTCTCTTATTATTCTTCTTTTTTAGGTTAACAGAGATGAACAGCAGAGAATACTTGGAACAACATTCGGCCATGTTAATGGGGAAGTAGTTTTCTAATGATCTTTTGGGAGGGCAAGAAGCACAATCCGCTTTTGTTCGACGTTTGTTGGAGCCGCAACTATTATTGCTACCGATGCATGCACACCATTGTTTCCAATTAAAAAAAAGAAACAATAAAGATATTGCAACTTAGATTATATAAACTTTATAAGGACTTTTAGTCATTTATTTATCCGAATGGTGACATTTATTATTAGAGACACGAAAGTTGTGAGTTGCTTGCACTTGGAATAGAAGTAGTGATTGCAAAACGAGCCAAGCTCGCGTCAGTTCGCGGTTGGCTCGTTTTTTGCCAAGTTGAGCTAGAAGAATAGGAGGAGCTTAAATAAAAATGTACTGAACGAGTCAACTCGTAGCGAGTCTGAGCCGATCGAACCAGCTCGTAGAAGTTGGCAATAAATAATTCAGGTTTTCATATTTTTATTTTTGTTATAGAAGTTGAAAATGCAAATAGAAATGAAGGTGAAAATAATGATGTAGTTAATTAGAATTTATGGTGTTGATGTATGTTTTTTCTGTTATATGTTGATGTTGGTTGGTGTAAGATACTATTTATATTGGTGTTTTATGGATTATTATGTTGAATGTTTTATGTTATGTTTGAATGATTTCACGTAGATTTTAAATTATTTTATTTCAGAAATGTTTTTATATCGATATGGAATTAGATTCAACTATACTTACGGCTATATATATTAACCAAATTGGCCGGCCGTCTCCTTGGGTGACCTAATGTAATATGATTCTTACAAGAGGTAATATGACAATCAAATCACAAGGCTGCCACCGGCAAAGACTCATAAAACAGCTTCTCAAACTTCACCATATGACGCTTCTTCAAACACATCATCACCACCAAGCTCCCATCTTCCTCCTCGCCCTCCATCACGAATCCTTTCCCTTCGTTCATATGGGAAGCCCTCGTGTACAGTTTCCTCCCCCACCCAAAATCCAATCCGTACTTCACATGCCTACTCAGTCCCACCACACACAGATTACTCCCCCCGAAAATCGGATTCCCTTCTCCAGGCACCAATTCTTCCAGGTTTGGATGATTCTCCAAGTAATCGATCGCCGATCTCAAGTAGTCGTTTCTCATTTTCCGAATCTCCCCGCGAATTCTCTCTGCCGTTTTGCCGAAACGCTCTCCCCGGAGATCGCTCGATAACACTGCTGGCCGAGCGTGAAACAGAACGTTCCCCACATAGCCCTTTGGAAGCTTCGGCTCCAGCCTCGTCCGCCCGTCCAATATTATATGCAGCCTCGTCACGTGTTCCTTCTCTTTAAGCTCTGTCGGAGAAGTAAAGCGAAAAATGTGAGATCTCATCTCTTTGCTTCAGCTGACTATAACATCGGGAAACTAATTGATGAATCAAAATCGGCATTGAACCCCCCGTATTAGTCAGAAAATGCTCTTTACATTCACCTGAAAAGCAAGCACAACGCCAGATATGTGCCACCAAAATTTCGTATAAACTGTATTGACCATCACTGCCGTCAACCTTTGTTCTAAGGGCGTTTAGCTGGAGAGGTGTGAGCCTAAGGGTAGCAATCATGGACTCCGTTTCGGGAGCTGATCTGTAAATCGAGGATTTCAAAGTGGGTATCTGAAAAGGAGGAGGTTGGTACTCTGTGTGAGGAAACATCGGAGAGGGCGGATCCCGTGCTCGGAGAACATTGCGGTCCAAGAATGGCAGCTCCTTCACCCGAAGGCCTCGGGCAGTTTGAGCCCATGCTTCCATCAGTTGAACCAGAGAAGCTCCATCCCCGAAAGTATGGTGTATCTGCGCTCCCATACAGATCGCTCCACACTTGAAAAACGTAACCTTGCAACATTGGCACCTATATCTTAGTTATTCGTAAACAACAGTCACGGATATGAATGGTTCAAGTTCTCAAGTGATGATGTACATCCAAGAACATTTACTTTCTCAAAACAACGGTTGTTAATATTCATTGTAAATACGACAAAAGTGGTCTTTGATCCTACCATCAATTCATCCCGCACACGTATCTTCCATTAGATGGATCTAAAAGACTCTTTCCGTATGAGGGATAGACTCTGATATATCAGAATAATGAACAATTGAGTACATTTCCACTGTTCCAAAGTAAACCATTCGCTTATCCTCAATAGTCGAAAAGCAATGGTGCAAGCAATGCAGGAAACTTAGAAAGCTTGCCTGGAAAAGAAGAAGAGGGTATGAGGATATGCCCCCTGAATAATCAACTGACGGAGCAAGCCGAGCAAGATCCAAACTTGGAGTGTGTAAACCAATGTCGCTTACAGTAGAATCAGTCTCAGCCTCCACAAACAGGACTCCTTCTCCATTGCAGTGAACCTCCAACCTGCCATTCTCGCCTACAAGAGATCACATAGACAATGCAGAGAGATGTAAAGATGTAATGGGTTTCCATAGAAATTCTCACAGAATCGTGAGTGGAATCCTCAACCCTTTTAACGCCATAAAATGACTAGACCAGATAACGCATTAGCTCCGACGAATTGTTCTCGTGAAGAAAGAAAAGAACAGGCTGTTCTACTCGACTGAAAAGCGGATCGAATACAGAACATTGAGAGAAATTTGAAGGGCGTTGAACGTTACCCCTCCGGAGCCTCCCAGCAGCAGGGTAGTACGGAACCAGAATATCGCTAAGAGCATCTTTGAGGAATCGGGTTCCGACAACATTGGAGGAGAGGAGTGGCTTGTAGAAGTGAAGCGTGCCCATGTGAAGCCTGACTTGGATCAGGTCTATGTTTGAAAGCCATAGACTGTGTCTCGGCGTCTCCTTTGCCGGTTTCACGATCGTTGATTGCTTCACGCGAATCTTCATTTCCCAACAACCTACGACCGCCCCAGGAGAAATCCGATCAAGGGTTCGTACCCCTCGAAACTACTCGATTTTCAAGCACATAAACCTAGAGGAACCAGATGAGACGAATCGATCGGATTCGGGGCTGAGATGATGAAAGCATATACACAACACAGGCGAGGAGAGAGAGAGAGAAAGCAGCTTACTTCGAGCTTTCATGGAATGTGAGGCTGGCTGAGGAAGAAGAAAATGGAAGCAAGCAACTGCTTTTGGTGCTTTGTCATCAAGATAGCGTTTATGTAATAGAGGTGTTTTGGTTTTAGAAAAATTACAATCATCCATTTTTTTATACTAAATTCGATTGGATTATTTTCAGATTCAGTTCGGATTTTCATAGATAAAAATATTCATTTTTTTTTTAAAAATCGATTATATGAACGCTTGATAGTTCATATATGTTAGTTATATACACGCACTCTGAAATATTATGCATAATAAACCTTACCCTTCTGTTTGTTGTTTATGCATCAAAACCAGATGCTTCTCATATACAAATCCCATTATACAATCCCAAACAGAGAGAGAGAGAGAGAGAGAGAGAGAGAGATGCAGAGATCAGACAATGTTCTAAACAAAAAAAAAAGGTACAAAAAAACATTTCAGAAGAACAGTCTTGTCTTCGTAGCCACAGCTTATGACATGGATTGCCTCCTTGAGGAGGGCTGCAGGGCTTGACGATGGAGGAACACCGCCATCTTCCATCAAAGTTGAAGTCACGAATATAGCCGACTGTCCGAATTTTTTCTCAAAGTTCATCTGAGACATCAAATTCTCCTTCTCACCCTCACCACCATCTGCCAATCCCCCCCAAGAGGTAAAATGTTACCAACTGAACAGATAGGTCTTGTGATTGTATCAATATCTACATCTTAAATTTGTATTTCAACATTTATATAGCAAACTATCCAGAGTGTTCTTGTCTTCAGCAGTTGATGCCGCACATGGTGGGGTCAGGCCCCTTGGTCTTAAGCACGAAAGGATCAATCCTAACCCAAAGCAATGAGAAGATAGAAGCCAACAGCACCGACCATATCACGACAATCGTCGGCGTCCTGTTCTGTCTTCCCATCAGACCTTTCAGGAAAGGGTAGAGATGAACTATCACCCAGAACGAGAAGAACAGCTTCCCAAACAGAGGGCCCCATGACTGGTAGCCATTGTTAATGGCGTCTGAGATTCCGGCAACAACTCCCACTAGGTTGATGATCAGGACTGTGGTCGGAGGAATGAGCAGCGTCGTCCACTTGAACGCGTACAGCTCGCCAAAGTCTTCATCGTCCGCCGCCTTTGATGTGACAGTGAAGTTCGTGTCAATGCCGGCCAAGATTTTCAGCAGACCTTGAACCACCGCGAAGAGGTGGGCCGAGATTCCTCCGATGACCCAGAATTGCTCGTTCCTCCACCATTCTTCTATGCTCACTCCGCTCCACCTCAACTCGAGGATACCCGTTGCGATGATCGATGAGAACAAAGCGATGAAGAAGAGACTCGCAAATGTGCTTATCTGGAAAAAAAGTTTCAAAAAATGGATTGTCAAATACCGGAAGAGGATCAAGTTTTGGACCTTTTCAACTATTCACCTGCAAAATCTTTGGGTTTTACTCACAGGTGGCATGATGAATTTGTCTGTGAGAAGGCAGACGGCAGGTAGGATGCAGTAAGCGAGGAGTGGTATGGAGGTGAATGGGTAGATGGTTGTGTTGGCATAAGCGAACCGCTCGAGCCACTTGAGTTTGGCTCCTTTGTAGCCGTACCAGACCGGGCTGTGCCTACTGAAGAAGATCTCTACCGATCCAAGTGCCCAACGTAGAACCTGGTTCAACCGATCTGATAGGTTAATGGGAGCCGAACCCTTGAAGGCTGCCCTTTTCGGCATGCAGTAAATAGACCTCCAACCGCGGCAGTGCATCTTGAAACCTGTCAGGATATCCTCCGTGATCGAACCATAAATCCAACCCAGCTGCATTTCCAAAGGGTACAAGATTTCTTTCTCAGATCAGATGATATCAAGCTTTTAAAACAAAATCAAGGGGAAAGTTTTATTAGAGAGTTGCTCACCTCAGTTCCCCATTCAGTCTTGTCTTCGTAGCCACAGCTTATGACATGGATTGCCTCCTTGAGGAGGGCTGCAGGGCTTGACGATGGAGGAACACCGCCATCTTCCATCAAAGTTGAAGTCACGAATATAGCCGACTGTCCGAATTTTTTCTCAAAGTTCATCTGAGACATCAAATTCTCCTTCTCACCCTCACCACCATCTGCCAATCCCCCCCAAGAGGTAAAATGTTACCAACTGAACAGATAGGTCTTGTGATTGTATCAATATCTACATCTTAAATTTGTATTTCAACATTTATATAGCAAACTATCCACCTATGTAACATCCTAATAAAGATCACACCTCTCTGCATCAATTTTCAGTTCATAATCATATTATATGGTTTCTCATGATAATATTACCTCCTAGGGCGGCTATGTCATTCTTAGAGTACTTGTTCTTTCTCCGGCTACCAAAGCAAGGGCAGCATCCGCAGCTAACCATCTTTGGACGTTTAGGACCTTTTGGTGGCTCATAACCATAAAGGGCTTGCCGTCTGAAGACACAACCTGTACCAACATAGACTGGACCCTGGATCCCATCTAGACCTTTCATATTGATCTGCGACAAATTAGAAGGTAGGCTGAGTTTTGCAGTATTCATAAAGCAGAAGAAGGTGAAGGAGAAGAAAAATGGATGTGTCTTTACATCAAAGAAGACGGTGTTCCTGTTAGCGTAACGGTCGTGCCTGTCAATACCATCGAATCTTTGTGGAAACTGAACATAGCAAACCTTCTTTCCGATCTGAGGGTCCATCAAGAAACACATTGCTTCTCTCACGGCCTTGCTGTTGTTCACGTAGTGGTCGCAGTCCAAGTTCAGCATGAATGGAGCGTTTGTCAATACTCCTGACACACGGACCTGAGAGATAGAAACACCATCTGGGTTAGGTCCAGAACTCAGACATCATTTTCTCCTGTCCAAGACAAGAAACAAGATAATGTGCTTTATGTCTGTACCAGAGCATTCATGGCACCGGCCTTCTTGTGGTGCTGGAAACCAGGCCTCTTCTCACGGGACACATACACGAGCCGAGGAAGCTCATTGCCTTCTACATCGTGGCCTCCACTGTGGCCAAGGAAGACTTGGATCATACCAGGGTGATCCTTAGTGTTGTTCCCAGGCCATGGTGTTCCGTCTTGCATGATCCACCCTTCTAGTGGAACCTTTGATGCCTTTGCCACTAGAGCATTGATCCTCACCTTGAACTCCTCGTATTCCCTCTGTTGGTGAAACCCATAAGAAGAGGAGAGTGAATTGTTTTCCTTCATCAAAAGTAAGTGAAACCATATATGTATAATTTGTCATTACTGACCTTCATGGATCGTCGTTCTTTAACGAAAGTTGGCTGAACTTTGTCCTTGAGGTAATCAACCTTCAAGGTGAAGTACATCTCCGGAGCACGTGGCTCTATGCTGAACTTTTTGCAGAAGGGAACCCATTTTCTTGCGAATTCAGCAGTTTCAGAGAGAGACTCAAAGGTGAGCATAGATGCACCGTCATCAGAGACATAGCAGGAGATTTTTTCAACTGGATAGTCCATGGCCAAGATTGATAGCACAGTGTTGGCCGTCACAAGTGGAGGCTCCTTCATCGGATCCACCGTACTGACAAAGACATCTGCTGGGGCAAGCAGATTCGGTTCGCCTTCCCTCTCGTACCTGGCATTTCGTTACAGACGAGCTGGTTTATTTGAACTCCTGTCCACCCTTTACACAAAAACTCATGGATTACTTACCTGAGGGAAAGGCGGTCAAGATAGGTCTCGCGATCAATAGGGAACCACTTAGGGAATTGATCAAGAATCCAAGAGATTGCGAACCAGATTTCGCAGATCACAGAGGTCAACCACAGGCCGATAGCATCATGAACAGGGTTCAAGATCCTATACCGCAGGAAAAATGCCAGAATCAGAAGCCGGGCAACAATGACCATCCGATATGGATTGATCTTGCTCGAAGCAATGGGCACTTTCCGTGACAGCGGCTGGGTAGCCTCATCAATCCTGCAGCCATTTCAAGGTTTAAACATACAAGAGTTCATAAGTTTTTGAATCTTGATAGCCCTGAGACTGATGTTTCATACAAAAAAAAAGCTGAAGAGACATTACAGTCCCATCTCAGGGTCATCGTCTGGTTCTGGCCCAAGATTTCCCTGTTGGAGCTTCCAGTCATCCATTCTTTCTCGCCATCCTGCCTCCTTCCAGCGGCTGTCTAGCCTCATCAATCCTGCAGCCATTTCAAGGTTTAAACATACAAGAGTTCATAAGTTTTTGAATCTTGATAGCCCTGAGACTGATGTTTCATACAAAAAAAAAGCTGAAGAGACATTACAGTCCCATCTCAGGGTCATCGTCTGGTTCTGGCCCAAGATTTCCCTGTTGGAGCTTCCAGTCATCCATTCTTTCTCGCCATCCTGCCTCCTTCTTATCATCCCATCTCTCACTTCCTGAACACGGAAATTTGCATACAGATATAAAGGAAGAACATTACCTTTGCCCTAAAGAACTTGTTTAATCAATCACAGAATTCATTTTCTTGTGTGACAAGTTACAGAAGAGTATCAATGAATGAGACTCACCAGCTTCAGAAGCTGGATATGGATGGACACGTTTGTGAAGCGAAGAAGACAGCCCTTGCTCTCCATGACCATACCCTCCAACGGGGAACTCTCCACTTACCTACAAGAAGAAGAAGCATTAAATTAGTAGATGAGAAGAATGAATAGATGGTGATCATGAACAAGAGGAAACCAGCTCAGGTTTTTTGTGGATACCGATCTAGCATGAACAAGTGAGAAATGGGGGTTGTCTTCATCATCAGGGCCTCTTCCATAGCTCATTTTTCCATTAAGCATAGCTTCAGCTGATTGCTTCTGCCTGTTCTGCTCATCTTCGATGTTGAATTCATGCTCGATATCATCGATATCCTCTTCATCCTCGTCTCTCTCCACCCTGGGGCTCCCTATCACAAGACCCAACAACAACAACAAAAAATTGTCATTATTGTTTCCAATTATTCAAAAGCAATAGCGTTCTTCATTCAGGCATTTGGTCGAGAACCTTTGAGGCGCTTGTAGCGAGTTTTGCACTGGGGACAGTTCTGAGTGCCTTCTCTCCGCTCGTACTCATAGCAAGGCCTGCACACTGGAAATCCACACTCATTGCATGCCACGAACAAGTCTCCATCCACCGTCAGCCCGATCTGATCCCCGCATATCTCGCAGAATTGCCCGTCCAGATTCTTCAGAGGCTTCGGCTACAATCCGATGAACTTCAGTTAGGAGAAATCCGTATAGATGTGTAGATTTATATGAATGAAGAGCTGGGTTTCGTTTCGTTTACCTCTTCGTGGTTATGGATGACGACAAGCTCGTTGCGGTTGTGAGAACCGGCCACAAGACCGGCGCTGGCTTCCATGGCGAGAGAGGCAGAGAGAAAGAGAGAGAGAAGAGACGTGAAATGTGATCGACCACGAGATCAAGCAGCGAAGTTCCGAGCTTTTATTAATGGAGATAAAATCATCCATTTTCTTTTCTTTCTTTTTTTTTAGGTTGGTGCGGTACAGAATCGGTTGCAGAGTCGCCATTGCCTCCAAGCTAAGCTTTGCCTCTTTTTTTTTAAAAAAAAAAAAAAAATTTACGGCAACCAACGAGTAACGACAGCTGATGTCTTCCGCTCATCTTTCAGGCTCTCTCTCTCTCACTGTCTTAATCTCCTCCTGACTTCTGTTTACTCTTTCTCATTAATGTTCCTTCACAATTACATATATTAATTAATAATTTAATATTCCGTTCCGTTTCTGCATATGTATCGCGCTACCAATTTTTAAACGTTATTTAATTTTATATTTATCAAAAGTGATAAAAGAAAAAACAAAGTTACGCTTGATTAATATTTTTTCTTAAATGATAAATCTATATATATATATATATTCAGGTGATATAAGAATACCATCCATATATATCGTGTTGCAGACTCGCATACATGGATCGGATTAGTCTGGGCTATTGGGTCTGGAAACCCGATTTACCAAAAAAAAAAAATACCATCCATATCAAAATCGTCATGCATGTAACATGTTATATGAATACATCAGTTTCTATTTGTTTTCCACAATTGAGAATCGTGGAATATGTTCCACGTAATCGGCCCCATGCAGACACATTTCATTTGGAATGCACTATTTGTGTTCATAGGCATCCGCTAATACCTATGTTGCCATGTTGGCTAAGAGATGCACACATTTACATTCCATTACTATTATATATATATATATATATATATATATACACATGGTACAACCCATACATGGATCCATTTTATGTTCAGTGTGTGATATATGATTAATTTTATTAATTTAGGTTCAGCGGTGAACTGGTAAGACGTGTAGTGTAAGAACGTGAAAAACAAGTTACGTCCACATCGTTTGGTATTTGGTATTTTGCATGCAACGCATCTCCTCATAAACAACCCCCATCCATATGGGTCTAATCGGCCCATTATTAGTATCCGGCCCAATAACGGCCCATTTGTCAAAAAAAAAACCTCTTATGTATACATATAATTGGGAAAACTCGATCCGAAATCGGTCCACTGCAATCATTTGGTAATTCTGTGTGCGCTCCAGATTTTTATATGAACATGATTACATAGTCAATATGCAGAGGAGGATGACGCGCCAAAACCGACAGCCATTCTTCCGACAGAATTTTGCATAGGTTTAATAGTTCATAGAATAAACGTTATGTAAACATACAATTAATTTAATTATATTGGGTATATGAATAAAATTTTGTAATCGGACAGTGTACGGAATGCCAAGAAATTTTATCTTGGCATGTCCAAGTTACAAATGGAATGAAAGATCACAAAGGTCCTACTTGAATATTTCCTTTACACAATAAGCTAGGGTTACATTCGTAATTTCCATCGACAAAAACGAAGATCCCAATTGTTAAAAAAAAAAAAAGGAAGAAGAAGCGGAAAGACCCTAATAAGAGAGAAGGGATTCTCTTCTCGAGTTCCTCTCCTCATCTCAACCCTTCTCTTCTCTTCTTCGCTTACGGCAGAAGAGAGAGAGAGAGAGTTACAAACCCTATCCTCTCCTTCGATTCTCTCCAGACCCCAGATTCAGCGTCTCACCAATCGGTGAGAAAGCTTCCATCTTCTCGTTTTCTAATCGGGTTTTTTGTTTCGGACATTGCGAATTCGATCTGGGCTGTTAGATCGAGGTATGCAGCAGGGTGATCAGACGGTGCTTAGTTTGAGACCTGGTGGCGGTCGAGGAAGCAGGCTCTTTGGTTCCTCTTCTTCTGCGTCGTCTCTGTCTTTTGGTTCGCTTTCCTCCTCGGATCTTCCTTTCCTTCGTCCTCATGGCGGTGCTCCTCCGTCCTCTTTCTCCCTCAAGGTATGGCCCCTCTTTCCATTACAGACGTCTCTATGTTTCTGGATCTATGTCTCGTTGTCATCTGATTTAGTTTTTCTCTTGTCTGGACATAGCTTCTTGAGTTCCGTATATTGTCATGCACTTTCCCGATTCTTTCTGTTAATCTACAAATTTGAAGTTCTCGATGTGATTCGTTTGGTTTTTGATTTGATTGTCGTATTCGTTAAGCGCATCTTAGCTCAAGCTCTGAGTTTTTCTGATCTCGCTTGTTCATGTTACTCTGTCTCTGGTGTTTCTGTTAATTATGCTATTGTGTTTCATAAAAAGGATTCAAGCTTCATCGTACCTGCGGTGCAAAGCATTTTCCTGTCCTAATTCTTGGCAGGGCACTCGAGTATGTGTAACTGCTGTAAATATGGACACAAAATGATTTCGTAGGCTTTTAGGTGGGCATTTCATTAAACGCAGTTTGCTCATAAAGGACCTACGGACATTCTGTGCAATACTGATGTCTGACTCTCTTAAATTTTGTATCAATCAGATACTTTTAATCTTTTCTGCTTTTTTATGTGTTGGAATCTCACTTCACGGAAATTTCTGTTCTTGATTATGTTTTGTTTCAGAGCGGAGACTCGCGCTTTGACAGCCGTGAACGCGTGCGTTACACCCGTGAGCAGCTTCTGCAAATCAGAGAGGTGCTTCTTGCTGATGTTTATTTGGTTCATCGCTTAAAGCTGCTGTTTTTATCTGGTTTTGTCGTTGCAATGTTCTAGCGGTGTAGGAGGATGTGCTTTTCTTTTTTTCTTTTCTCCTTTTTAGCTGTTTATTTTGTTTCTTCTTGATTTTCTAATTCCTTTTGTAACTTTATTATGTCTTGCAACCTTACATTTCTCAATAATTGTGATATTTTCCAATATTTAATACCCTGCTAAATCCGTACTTTCATCTTATTCTTAGCCTCTAAGTTTTCTGAATATATGCAGACTGTTCAACCCTCGGATGAAATTCTGAAAATCAAACGGGAAATCGAGACAGATTTGTTCGGTGAAGAAGAGACTTGGCCACGTGGGGAAAGTGCTGTGAGTATCATAAAGTTTGAGACATTAATCTTTTGTTGTGTTTTCTGCAGCATATAAAGTTTTACGACTTCTTCCTAAATCTGTTGTTATCTAAATCCGCCAGGTCCCACTCCCAGTTCAGCCTCCAAGTCGCTTTTCTGAGCCAGACCATCGTGATTGGCGTAGCCGTTCTGCACAACTACCCCCCTCTGGGGAGGAAAGGTCCTGGGAAAATCTTCGTGAAGCTCGGGGTTCCAGGTTTGACGAATCAAACCAATTTAATCATCAAGACCAACTAAGCTCTCAGTTTTCGAGGGTGCAAATATCTTCCAGTCAAGGGGTAAAAAGTCGAAATGAGTTTTAGATCTTGTCCTTTGAATGCCATTTCTGTTCTTAATTATACGATTGTTTCGTGCGTTGAACCAGGGTGGGCCAGCTCCTACACTGGTCAAAGCCGAAGTTCCTTGGTCAGTTAGAAGAGGAAACCTTTCTGAGAAGGAGCGTGTTTTGAAGGCTGTGAAAGGGTAACATCCAATGTGCCGTCTTTGTGTTTGTGGTTTTGGATGAACTATTTGGGGTCCCGCTCTGTTTATTTCTCAAATTTGCATCATATCGTTTGCTACCAATATGAACATCTTTATATTTAGTGTGTTCCCTGAAAAAGGTTATGTTTTGCTTGCCCAGGATATTGAACAAGCTGACCCCTGAGAAGTATGATCTTCTGAAGGGCCAACTTATAGATGCTGGTATCACATCGGCTGATATCCTAAAGGTGTGCCTCTATCTCAAACGTTGAGCTGTCTTTTAAAAAATCCCACATCCGGCCATATCTTTGACCATTTTGCCTGTTTCGATTGTAGGACGTGATAGCTCTTATTTTTGACAAATCTGTCCTTGAGCCTACGTTTTGCTCTATGTACGCTCGTTTGTGTTCTGATATCAATGACAAGCTGCCCAAGTTCCCACCTGAAGAGCCTGAGGGTAAAGAGATTACATTTAAGAGGGTTCTGCTGAATATCTGTCAAGAGGCGTTTGAGGGTGCTGACAAATTGAGAGAGGAAGTTAGACAGATGACTGCTCCAGATCAGGAGGCTGAGCGCAAGGACAAGGAAAGATTGATGAAGCTCCGGACACTAGGAAATATTCGTTTAATCGGTGAACTTCTAAAGCAGAATATGGTTCCAGAAAAGATTGTCCATCACATTGTTCAGGTTAATACCTTCAAGTTAGCATCTTTCCTTGGGAACTGCTTCTTTGGTGTGTGTGTGTCTTGTAATTGATAATTTCTGTCTGCAGGAGCTTCTGGGTCCTGATGAGAAAGTGTGTCCGGCAGAGGAAAATGTGGAGGCTATTTGTCAGTTTTTCAACACCATTGGCAAGCAGCTCGATGAAAGCTTGAAGTCAAAGCGGATAAATGATATGTACTTCAAACGACTGAAAGATCTATCAAGAAATCCTCAATTGGCTCCTCGTCTGCGATTTTTGGTTCGGGATATCATTGACCTGCGTGCGAACAATTGGGTTCCCAGGCGTGAGGAGGTATCTATACTCGTGACATTTCATCACGCATTACATCTGTTAGTTACAAGATTGGGGCGTGTCTGTTGCGAGGTTGTGTAATCAAGTGTTTCCGATGTTATCTACTTTGAATTCTGCAGGTGAAAGCAAAAACTATAACTGAAATTCACTCGGAGGCAGAGAAGATTCTTGGTCTCCGTCCAGGCGCCACAGCCAGTATCAGAAAGGGTGTGGCACCAGGGAGTCCTGGCCCCATCTATCCCGGAGGTCGACCTGGTACTGGTGGCTTGATGCCCGGCATGCCTGGGGCGCGAAGGATGCCTGGGATGGACACCGATAACTGGGAAATTCCCAGGACACGATCCATGCCAAGACGAGAAGGGTTAGTCCAACCTCCATTGGTCAGCAAGACAGCCTCAATGAACACGAGGCTCTTGCCTCAAGGCAGTGGCGGTGGGTTTATGAGCGGAAGAACAAGTGCCCTGTTGCAGGGCAGTGGCCCGCCGTCACGTCCATTTGGAATGGGAGTGGATCCGCCCTCTCAAGCCCCTGCAGCTGCACCTCCCAACGTGCCTGTTCCTGTGGAGAAACCACAACCTACTACAGCTCCGAAGCTGGGTGAAGAAGTGCTCAAGAGAAAAACCAAGTCACTTCTCGAGGAATATTTCAGTGTGAGGATCCTTGATGAAGCTCTGCAGTGCGTAGAGGAGCTCGGGTCACCATGGTATCACGCAGAGATTGTGAAGGAAGCCATTTCCCTTGGCCTCGAGAAAAGCCCGCCTTGCGTTGAACCCACCGCGAAACTCTTGGAGTATATGCTGTCAAAGAAGGTGGTAACAGCTAAGGATCTGGAAAATGGGTGCTTGATGTATGGATCAATGCTGGACGATGTAGGAATTGATGTGCCAATGGCTCCGACCAACTTTGGGGAGATTGTGGGAAGACTGATACTGGGAGGTGGCCTGGACTTCAAAGTGGTCAGCCAAGTCGTGAAAAAGATGGAGGACGACAGGTTCCAAAAGGCTGTCGTGGATGCGGCTGTGCGGACGGTCGGGTCGAGCGAACAGGGGAAGTCTCTGCTGGAATTGCAGGCTGCTGACGTGGAGGCTTGCCGGAATCCGTAGAAGCTGTCACGATTTTGATGCTGTCGTGTTCCCAAGACTTGAAGTTAAGTCATCATCTCTTCTGAGGAGATGCATGCTTTTAGATATTTAAATTAAATTATTAAAGAGAAAAAAAAGGGGTCACACGAACGAACGAAACCTGGATTTTTGCTCAGTTAAAAGCTTTCGAGGCCTTGTCTTTTTTTTTCTTTTTTTTTTGTATTCTGTATTTTGACTCTTGTGGGTTGGTTTTTGTCCTTATGATTCCGTTGATTGTTGTTGCAATTCCCAATACTCTCTCATCGGTTAAGTTTTTTTTTTTCTTACATATTAATTGCGGTTTTTTTCCATTTATTATTAATTATTTAACTTGTTTTTTCTTATTTATTTTATTTTAGTATAGAATTCGTTTCTTTTATTACTGGGTATTTGAATCAAGCTCTAAACTAATTCTATTCGAATAATTCTGTATTTTATCGTGAACCACGTGATGATAGGGTTGGATATAAATACCCGAAAATCCAAATCCAAATCCCCATTTTTTAATATCCGTAAATCCGAATCCAAATCCGGATAATAGAATTTTTAAAACCGGATATCCGCGGGTACCCGACTATTATGATTATAAATAATTATATCTTATATTTATATAACATTTTTATAAAATATAATTATTTTAGATTAAATAATATCATATTTTTTAATATTAATTCAAAAAAATTAAATTTATTATTATTTATCTCTTATTATCTCTTTTGTCTCATATATTTTATCATAATTCATCAATTTTTATAAATATATCTTCATTTTTTGAAAATTTTATATATGAATATTGTTGTTTTTCTTAAATAAATCCGGATCCGGATACCCGCAAATACCCGACCATTATTCTGGATACCCGTACCCCGGATACTCGTAAATACCAAATTCCGGATACAAATCTTATAGTTAAATATCCGAACCTTCCGGATCCAAATCCAAATCTCTCGATTTTTTCGGATATTCGATCCGTGCTCACCCCTATGTGATGATAGACTTTTTGTGCCTCCTTGTTTATGGTCCATTGAAATATAGTTTTATGGTCTTTTAGAATAATATTATTCAACTATTATTTTTTTTTATATTTTCGATTAGGAAATAAGTTATTCTAACAATATTATTGGCTTTTATGAGAGTAATGCAGTACTGAATTGTGACACCCTAGTTAGTTTATTAGAACAACACTCGTTCATCTACAAGAACACTATTGTAATTTAATATATTTGGGGTTTTCATTGTAGTTTCATTAATAATACGTACACAGAAAACATATGTACCCTTGTTGATATTCCGCCACTCGTTGCAGTGGTGGAGCTTGTGGCTCAATTCGGGAAAAAAAGAAATTAATTTGAATTTGTTTATTATCTTAAATAATTTGGATTTAAATTTATATGGTAAATATACGTTATTCACCCACACTTGATTTTGGATATTTCTATATTTGGAAGCATTGGATAGCATGTAACGTATATTCGAAATTCGTAATGATGTAAAAATTAAATGGGTTGTCTAGAGTTTGATGATATCTTCTATTGAATCACATGGCACATCATCTAGTCCAGCTAGCTGCTGATACGTGACTGCTAATATACTATATATATATATATATATATATAAATAGATAGCTGGTGATTGAATACACAGCTGTTTTGGTAGCCAGCCACAGTGGTCCATGCAAGGTTTCTATTTATATATTATATGTACATAAATGATACCAATCATCACTATATATATATATATATATTATATGTATAATGTTGAAATGAGATTATTAATTAATAGAAAAAAGAATAGCGCATGTGCTTAGTTGATCGACTCGCATGGGACACCAGTGCTGACTCTGTTTAAACACGCGTGGTGGTTTTTTTGACACGTGTTATTTGGTCAGTCAAAGATGGCAAAGAGGATGTGAATAACCTAATTTCAATTATCCGAATTAATCGTATTGGAATTCCATATAAAAGTCTAATATTTGTGATTTTTGTTAAAAACTAAAGAAACCGAAATCCAAACTGAACCATAACAAATAAAAAAATCGATCGAAAAAAATTGAAAATGAGCTAATAAATATTGAAACTGAACCCGAATTTAAATTAAAACAAAATCAAACTAAACCGAATTTAATATAAAAAGAAACAGTTAAATTTTTTAAAAAAAATCAAAAAATCGAATTCAAATATAACCGAGCCCAAATATATGAAACGGTCGCCCGAATGATTGATAAGGGCGCGTTCAGTCCACCTAATATCATTAAATAACTCTCCCAACTTGTCAAGAACTTCTTTATTTAAACCCCAAAAGAAAACCCCGAATTCAAACTCAAACACGGAACCAGAACCAGACATGAATCCTCAGATGACAAGAACCATAATCATTCTGTCGGTATTCGGGCTGCTGCTCCTTTCTCAGTCTCTCTTGTGTTCGGCCGCCGGCGGTGAAGCCGGGAGGGCGAGGAATCTGGGTGCGGTCGTGGGGAAGCGGAGCGGCTACAGGCCTCGCAACCGCAGCAACTCCACTTCCTCGAGCGTGGCTCTGCTCCCTGGCTCGGTGGTCCATATGGGTGCAACTGGCCTTGGCTTCTCTTTCCTTCTCGGCCTCCTCTTTTAGATTTCCACTTTTGAGTTTTTTTCTTTCCCTTTTATGTAATATCTTGTTTCCTTCATTTGTATCTGTTTGGTTTTCCTCTTATGTCTGTGTGATTGGTTGGATTGGATATGCATTAATATCTTCCATTGTATTTGAATTCCTTTATTGCCTCCAATCCCATATTAAATATATTTGATCCTTTCTCATCGGACTCCTCTATACATATATATGTACATGTGTGACTGGATGTTCATCATAGGTTGGGCAAATCTCTCTTAGTATGTTGGGGATGTAATTGGACAGAAATCTCTCTCTCTGATGTTATTCACATTGCGCAATACATATATATAATACAATAATGAAATCCCGCAGGATACTCTGGGAAGATATGCAAATATTACAAAAGGAAACTTTACTAACAGGGGATATTTCTAATAATAAAGCATTATTGGATATGCAAGTGACGGAGCTGTCTGAAATATTACATCAGCAAATACACCTCTTGACCTGTTGCCATTACTCTCTTTCACTCTTTCTTGCGTCGTTTTCTTTTTGGTAATCCGTATCGGATCGAGACTCATACTAATCTCGAAGTCAAAAACAAGTAATGTGATTAGGATTATGCTTTCTTTCCTCAACTTGAAACTCGAATTCGGGACGAACATATGTTTTGCATAATACGTTTTACCGCTTTTGCATTTATATAAGGGCCGTCTTCGAGGGGTGCAACTGGAGCTTTTGCACAGGCCCCAAATTTATGAGCTCCACTTTCCTTTTTTAATATTTTTAAAATTCAATAAGATTTTTAATAAAATAAGAAAAACTATTATAAATTAAAAATATTAAATTTTGTTATATTGTAATAATCTTTTATAACAATTATATTTTTTAGTTCATAATTTTTAATCACTATATATTTTTAAAAATAAAAAAATTAGTATAACAAAGTATTTTTTAATCAAAAGTTTCATAACAATAAACTTGATTTTAACTTGTATTACTCTTTAAAATAAATTTATTATTTAAAAAATTATTGTAATAAATAATATATTTTTCTATTTTTTCTATAATTTGAAAATTTTATCTATTAATTATTATATTTAAAAATTTTAAATATTAATTAGATTAAAAATTATAAAAAATAATAAATATAAAATTGAAGAGGACCTCTCCAATATGAGGTCCAATATATGAGAAGGCTCTGCGTGTATATATATATATATATAAAATCGAACCGGTTAACACTCGGTTACAGTTTAGTAAACTTTTATGGAATCGAATAATCTGGTCCAAAACGAAATCCAACAAATAAGGAACCGAAATCCAGAAATGCTCACCGCTACCTGATATTGGTTCTGCATTTTCTCTTTC